TTAGTAGAGAGGGGGTTTCGCCATGTTGTTCAGGCTGGTCTCAAACTCCTGACCTCAGGTGATCCGCCCACGTCAGCCTCCCAAAGTGCTAGAATTACAGGCACGAGCCACCGTGCCCAACCCTCCAAATATTTTCAGTCTGCAGGATGCAAAACCCACAGATAAGAGCACCAGCTGTATACTCTTTTTTTCTATACATACCAATAATAAAGTTCAATTTCTAAATTAGGCACAGTAATGAGTGACTTTTCCATCTCTCTTGGATCCTGTCCTTGACTCCCCATTGTCCCTCTATGCTAGGAGCTGGAAAACCAAGATGAAAGCTCAGTTCCACTGAGAAATTTTGCCAATGATGGGCAGACTTTCACCCCAGAAGCTGGATGAGTCATTCCTTGTTTGGCCGGGACAGATGTGGACAGAGACCCGCAGGGTCTGCATGCATGAAAGGCTGCAGGTCCAGGTGACTGGATCATGCAGGTTGCAGTCCCTTCCCCACCCCAGTGTGAATGGCCGAGGGTGGCAGCAAAGTATCACACTGTAGGCTTAAAAGACAGCAATTGATTATCTCACAGCGCTGGAGGCTAAAAGTCTGAGGTCAAGGTGTCTGCAAGCCTGGCTCCTTCTGAGGCTGGGAGGGAGCCCCTGTCCTGGGCCACTCTCCTGGCTGTTGGGCATTTGCTGGCACCCCTCGGCAGTCCTTGGCTTGTGGAAGCATCACCCGTCTGCCTCCATCTTCACACCACCTTCTCTTTGTGTCCCTTTACCTGGCCTCCTTTGTAGAAGGGCACCAGTCATAGTGGACTAGGCCCCACCCCCATAGCCTCATTTTACATTTATAAAGACCCTATTTCCAATGAACCCACATACTCAGGTCCTGGGGGTTAGGACTTCAGCATATCTTTCGGAGGAGGCGGACATAATTCACCCTCTAACATCACCTACTTATTTTTGGTCATATCTAGATCACAGGTGTCAAGAATAAGGACAGAAAAGGGCCAGGCTCAGTGGCCTGCACCTGTAATCTCAACACTTTGGAAGGCCGAGGTGGGAGGATCATTTGAATTCAGGAGTTCAAGGCCAGCCTGGGCAATAAAGTGAAACCCCGTCTCTATAATAACATTTTTTTTTTTTTAAGAAAAGGAAGAATATGATGCTTTGGAGAACAAATTAAGTACAATTAAGGATCTTCCAACCCTGATGGCCTTTTTGCAAAGCAATTGGGTATGTCTTACAGGGAGAGGGGAACCCAGATTCTAGGTACATTAGGTCAGCATTGAGCTTTCTGAAATGCAACCTACTGCACTCATGAGTACTTCCTAGTTAAGACTAGTCACAAATACAGTGTCTATAACTAAACTCAAATTGTCACAAAACAGTTTGTACCCCTACTGCGATTGATACACTCAAATCATTTTGATTACATAAGATTTAGCTCCATTTCCTTCTTATAAATGACTAGCTGCTGACTGGGCATGGTGGCCCACGCCTGTAACCCCAGCATTTTAGGAGCCCCAGGCAGATGGATCACCTGAGGTCAGGAATCCGAGACCAGCCTGGGCAACGTAGTGAAACCGTACCTCTACTAAAAATACAAAAATTAGCCAGGCATGGTGGTGGGTGCCCGTAATTCCAGCTACTCAGGAGGCAGAGGCAGAGGAATTGCTTGAACTCCGGAGGCAGAGGCTGCAGTGAGCTGAGATCATGCCATTGCACTCCCGCCTGGGCAACAAGAGCAAGCAAGACTCCATCTCAAAATAAATAAGTAAAAATAAAACACTAGCCAGGCGAGGTGGCTCACGCCTGTAATCCCAGCACTTTGGGAGGCCACAGCAGGAGAATCATGAGGTCAGGAGTTGGAGACTAGCCTGGCCAATATGGTGAAACTCGCCTCTACTAAAAATACAGAAGTTCGCCAGGCATGGTGGCGCACCCCTGTAGTCCCAGCTACTCAGGAGGCTGAGGCAGAAGAATCGCTTGAACCCGGGAGGCGGAGGTTGCAGTGAGCAGAGATCATCCCTTTGCACTTCAGCCTGGGTGACAGAGTGAGACTCCTTCTAAAAAAAATACAAATAAAAGACTAGCTGCGGTTCATTATATTGAGTTCAACACCCATGGATGGTGCCTACTCAGATTTTGAAGAATATTCTCGAGGCTGCCTTCTAAAGACCAGCCCCGGAGTGTCACTGCTTCCCCTAGGGGAGTGCAAATTGCTTTTGAGAACAGGAGGTCGATGGGAGGGGCACGGCGTCTGGGCTAGTTACAGTCGTGGGGATGGCGTGAATTAGCCCCCATCAGGAGAATGAGAATCAACTGCAAGACTCAGTGTCATGGCAAAACTTTGTGACACTTTCACCCCCCAGGCTCCTGTTTCCAAGGCTGCATTTGTGTGGACACAGCTGGCTAAAATTCGTCTCTCCTGTCCCCATCCCCACCCCCAGCCATGGAGGCTCAGGCCTCAAATAGAAAGACCCCCGGAAGACACGGGGAGGGAACCAGGTCTTGACATTTTAAGGCATATTTTTAATAGTTTTTAATCCCTTTCCCAATTGTGTACATCCAGTCCGGTGGCATCTTTCTATACACGATAGACGCTTTTCATGGCGGTCAGTATGGGAGTGTGCACAGCACATACTCACAATGAGGGTCGGTCGGCACCTGTATAAAACTACAGACCCTGAAAACAGTGGGACCTACAGGAACCTCGGATCCCCATCACAGCAATATGAAAACAATATTTGAAAGGTCCAGTTACATCCCTACAGGCACCACATATGATGTGTTGAAGAACTATCTACAGAAGTGGTCAAGGGAGATCCAGTGCTGCACCTAACACGTGTTAATTCTGACAACCTGATTCGGCTCGGAGACAAGAGATTCCATAATAATTTAAGGCATTTAAGACAATCATGGTTTGTTATTAGATGAATACATTAAAATCCAGAAAGTCCTCAGATTATCCCTCCACACCCCCGAACGCACACAGCATGGAGACCTACAAAGGTCATCTTGCTTCAACAGTCCTGGAGTCTAGGGTGTGGTTTAAAAATTGAGAACATTTTATGACATTGTAGGAACAGCAGTTGAAGACGTGTGGTCCTGTCTTAGTGGCTTTGCAAGTGTCTTCTTTCTTCCAGGCCTTGGTTAAGAATAGTATTTTAAGTCGATGATTTGCATTCGAACAAAGCGTTTTCAAAAGGAATGTGAAAGACAAAAACTCCAATCAGATTTTCCAGTCTTGCTGTCTGTAGACTCCCATAAAGTTAATTCGGGAGACAGTTCAGAAACATCCTAGGAGAGTATTAAAGTCTTGACGAAACATTCAGAGCATTTCTGGTAGCAAGCTAAGGTCATTTTGTATAAACTCTAAAAAGTCATTCATTAAAATTAAACGTTTGCCATCACCTCGAAACTGTTTTTAAACATCACCCACCCTGCCTCTTCCACGGTTGCTTCAACGACAGGGGTTACATTTGTAAAATATATAAAGAAAAATATAAGGTTACTTGGTGACCATATAGTGCACTGTAACAGCTGTCTGCAAATATTTTCACCATGATCACCCTTACTAAAAGTAAATCACGGGGTAAAGATAGCTCAAACGTGACAAGGTTCGAATGGGACGCACCGACGCTATCTGCAATCTTTTTTGGCTACATATGGGAAAAAAAGCCACTTGGGATGGCAAACGCCTGCACCGGGTCTGAGCTTTCTGCAGGTTTCACGGCTTGTGAGGTAGATGTTAAACGCACTTAAGCAGGGGATGCATCAGAAACCACGCAAACACTGCGTCAAGTGTTTTGTACAATTACAAGGATATTTCACCTAAAAATAATAGCTAGCTCTAGCCCGCAGCTCCCTAAGCACAGGGAAGCCCGTTTGGGGTGGGGGTGGGGGTTTGTTTCTTTTAAAAAATATATTCTAGGCCGGGCACGGTGGCTCAAGCCTGTAATCCCAGCACTTTGGGAGGCTGAGGCGGGTGGATCACGAGGTCGAGAGATCGAGACCATCCTGGTCAACATGGTGAAACCCCGTCTCTACTAAAAATACAAAAAATTAGCTGAGCATGGTGGCGCATGCCTGTAATCCCAGCTACTCAGGAGGCTGAGGCAGGAGAATTGCTTGAACCCAGGAGGAGGAGGTTGCGGTGAGCCGAGATCGTGCCATTGCACTCCAGCCTGGGTAACAAGAGCGAAACTCCGTCTCAAAAAAAAATTATATACATATATATATATATAATATATATATATATATATATATTCTATCACACCATCAGAAGCATCTGCTATCACAGATTATTTTTCATCACTAGGGTTTTGTCTTGATTGCAAATACACCATCTTCTCCATTTCTAGCCTCCCAGTGGGATACCGATTCCTCTTCACGGAATTTATGAAATAGCTTCGTCTTTTCCCCAATGATCACAGCCATGGGGGCTGTCGCTGATCCAAAAAAAGGCAAACAGGAGTTTATAAAGTTGTCCAGGGGTCTCTCCCATCTGGTAGATCAAGGAAGATTGACTACAGGAAAGTTCAAAGGTCAGTCTTGGCAGATCTAAAAACAGAGTGGCAGGGAGGACTACGACAGCGCGCTTTCTGTGCCCAAAGTAAACCGATATGCCCCGATGAACAGCAACAGGGCACAAAGGGAGCAGCCTCTAAGGACACTAGCCGGGAGCCCCCTGAACTGGCTTCCCAAGCCTTGGGCAGGCCTTTCCGTACAGAGAGATGCTCCACACCATACTACAGGGGTTGACATCGGAATCCAACGTCACCTTATTTTAAAACACAGAATAGCAGCACACTCCTGACAACTTTTTGACAAGTTAAAGAAATCCAATGGTAAGATTCTCCACTGTTGCACCAGAAAAGTCAGAGTTGGTTTTTTGTTTTTTGGTGGGGTTTTTTTTTTTTTTTTGTCTTTTCCCCGCCCACCCCCACCCCCCCCCAAAAAAAATTACAAAACACACCCTCAGAACCATAAATAATTTGGTGGCAATATATACAAATTTAAATAATTAATTTAAATATCTTACACCTACTCTTGCATTAAACTCTTCATCCGAAGAAAAGTGCACCAAGGTGGCCCTCGATGCTCCCCTCCCGGGGGCTTCCCGAGGCTGAGGCAGGGGCCTTCCGGAGGGTCACAGCCTGGGGAGGAAGTGGGTGACCTTATTGGTGGGTGACACTCTGTTCCCATTCTTGGTCTTCCCGTTCTTTCTCAGAGCGATGAACATGCTGGGGTACTTGTAGGACTCGTAGGCGTTGTAGTTGTTGGGGAGGAGAATCTCCTTGAACTTGCACTCACTGGTGAAGAAGGGCTGGAGCAAAGCAGGGCGGCGTCACGGCTGGGCCACCTCTTGAGCAAGGTACCCAGCCTGGGGCCAGGAGTCAGAACCCCCTTCTCTCCCAGCCCCCACTCTCGGCTGAGATGTCTCTCTGAGCACTTAGGGTGTCAAGACTCTCACAGGGTGAGAAAGGGACATGGCCAGCCCACAACATCTGGTGCTCCCAACACCTGCCCTGCACCTAGCGGCCAGAGAATTCACCCTTCCTCAAGCCTAAAGCCGGCAGTTCCACCGCTGGGACCCACCCCTCTGAACTAGAGAAGGGAAGGGCTCTCAAAAGCGTCCTTTCCTGGGGCTGAGAGGGGCTCACTCAGGGACGGAAGGAACCTCATTGTTACTGCCTTGGGGCTGCCTCCTTTGTCTGGGCAAGCCTGACAGTCCGGTGACCCGGTGACCCTGCCACCCCTCCAAGACCCAGGCACAGGTGGGGCTGGAGAAGCCAGGATCCCGCCAGCCAGGTCCGCTGTTCCCAGCGAGGTGCCTGGCCAGACCCTGCGGTACTCACCGAGCCATAGAGCTTCCCCTTGCTGCTCATGGCCACGAAGAACCGGCTGGCCACGCCGAAGATGCTCACCACGCCCCGCTCCACGGGTGAGAGCTCCAGCAGGCCTGGGGGCGGGGCGCAGGTCATTGCGGGGCAGGTGACCCTTGGCCCACTCCGCCCCTCGCCCTGTTCGCCTCCGGGGACCCTATTTCTGGGGTGGGGGTGGGGATAAAGGGCCCGGGGTCCCTGGCGCAGGCCGCCCTCAAGGGCCACCGGGGCCCAAGGTTGAGCTAGCTCAGATTAGCTTGCCGGTGTAGGGGACCCCCGGCGGCCGCACTCTGTCCCGGACCTTCAGAGACTAGTCGAGCCCGGCGGTCTCCCGGCCTGACCGAGGCCGGGACGCGTGTCTCCGGCCACCTATGGCTGCACCACGCGCCCTGTGCCCACGGACGAAGGCGCTGGAACTCGGCGCTGGGAGCCCGAGCTTCTGAAGGCGGTAGGCGGGGCCCGGCCTCAGGGGTTGCTCTGGGCTGCTGGAGCCAAGAGTGTCTGCGTCCCCCGCCCCTCGTCAGAAGGGACCCGAGCCCAAGTCCGCCCCGGCTCGCAGGGCCCTCGAGCAGGTGCCCGCCGGGATCTCAGCGTGTGACCCAGCGCGTGGGCAGGGGCGGCCGTTGCCCCCAGCCCCTGCCCCTTCCCGCCCGGCCGCGCCACTCACTGTCGCGGGTGTCCGCGTGCGCGCCGCCGATGCGGCCGTCGGGGAGCACCTGGAGGTGGAAGCCGATGCCCACGTTGCAGTAGAGCCGCCGCAGCCGCTTGATGCCCAGCAGGTAGTCGCCGGCGCCGCTCTGGACGGCCGCCTCCTTGGGCTGCGATGCCACCGGCAGGCGCGTCAGCGAGCGCGCCAGCAGACTCTCCCAGCTGCGCTCCAGCTCGGCCTCCAGCGTGCCGTTGGGTGCGGCGGGTGCGGCGGCGCTCCCTCGGCCCTCCCAGGGGGCCAGCAAGGCCAGCAGGACCGCGGGGAGCAGTGCCGCCGCGGCCGGCCCGGGCCCCGACATCCCGGCCCGAGGGCCGCGCGTCTGTCAGGCGGTCCGTGCGCCTGGGAAGCTGGGGGTCAGAGCTGCGCCTGGGGTGGCCCGCGGGAGCGCACGGCCGAGTTCGGGCGGGAGTGTGCAGCGGAGGAGGAGCGCGAGACGAGCGACGGGGCCTCCGGTCGCCGAGCGCTACCCCGGCTGCATGGAGCGGGGAACCCGGCGGAAAGCGCACGGCTGGAGCTGGGACCCTGCGGAGCAGTGCGCGCCTCCCTGCGCGCCGGGCCAGCCCGAGGCAGAGCCGCTATATATATAGCCCGGCGCCCCCTCCTACTCGCCCGCTCCCGCTGGGGGCCGTTCGCGTTCGCCTGGGCGCCCGAGGCGCTGTGGCGTTCGCGGCTGGTCGCAGGCCGCCTGCCAATCAGGACCGGGGAAGGGGAGGAGGCCGGGGATAAGCGCCGCGAGTGCCACCTGGAGGGACCCCGGCCCCCCCCCACCCACCTTGGCTCCGCCCGGCCCACGGACCTGTTCGTACCGCCCCTCGCGGCTCCTACACTTCTGGCTTTTCAGTCCGTTTGCCTCTTGCACTTTGTCCCTGCCTGTCCCCTTCCCCGTCTCCCTCTCTGCTCCGGCGGCCTGGGCGCAGCCCTAACCCAGGCACCCTAAGCTCCGAGTGGACGCAGAAGTCAGCGGCAGTTGCCTGCCCTTCGCCTTTCGGAGGCTCACGGGAACTTGGTTCCTCTGCTGGGTCCTTGAGGAATGGCCTGGGAAGCAGGGGTGGGTAAGAGCAGAAAGCGACACTGGGGCCTGGCTTGGCAAAGGAAGACCCTGTGGCTACAGGCGGGAGGGAGGCCACCCCTACTTCTTACGTCTTGGCCCTGCAGGCGCGTCGCGTTTCGGGGCTGGAGTTCTGAATACCTGGTGGAGGTCCACCTGGGCCAAAGGGCAAGGTGGCAGATACCCACCCAGGGAGGCCTGGCCCTGCAACCCCCTCGCACACACCCCTCCTTGAAAGGACAGGTGGCAGGACGCAGGGCCTGCAGAGGGATATTCACCATCCCCTGCTCCTCTGATTCGGCGGCAGAGATACGCATGCACCATAGCCGGAGCTCTCAGTCTAGCAGGGACCCAGACAGGCCTCTGGAAAGCTCCCCTCTCCCACTCATGGTTCCACCTCCTACTGTGCCCAATATATATGGCCTGACGGGGCCAGGCCCAGCTAGATGCAGACCCTCCTAGGTGTGAAAAGCCGTGTTCTTTGTGGTTCCTGAGGAGCTGGCCCTCCCTGCAGGCCCGCCTAGCCACAGCTGCAGGGGGTTTGGTGCCTACCCCACCCCTCGTACTACCAGCACCTGTGACCAGAGATGTCCGCAGGCCACCTCCGCTCCCTCCACCTCCACCCCATCGGCACATCCAGAGCCCTGGGACCCCTTCAGAAGTCTGCTGAGGCTTGTTTGTGCCCCTGGAGGGGATCTGGGAGGCTTGACGGCTCTACTCGGAGGTGGAGACGGGGGCATTTGGGGGTCATCAAGTGGCTTTGGCAGGACCAGAGCCCTCAGCTCAGCATCTCTTGAGAGGCTCTTTGCTCCTCCTTGGGCCTGCAGCCTGCCTGGGCAGCCCAGACCCGGGCCTTCCTGGGCTCCAGCTCAAAGCTGCAAGATGCAACCTGGCTGCCTCTGGGCCCCTGAGCTCCCAGATGAGCCTGCGGATCTGGTGCCAAGAGACATCCCTGGCCTGGTGCAGGGTGCAGGGGGTCTGGAGCCCACCCCTCACTTGCTGTGTGGTCTTTTCATCTCTGGGTCCCTGACTCCCCATTTGCAGAAAGGCATGGGAGGTGGGCTTTCCTCCCTTGGCCTGGGTCCACCTGAACATGCCCTCTGGGGAAGTGAGACCCAGGCCTGGAGACCCACCTGTGCCAGCTGACCTGAGCAGAGGGCCTCTGATGTCTTCCCCCAGCTTTTGATAGGATGAGGCCCCTTTCTTCCCGGGACTCCCACAGCAAGCTCAATTTAGGGCTCCCCAAGGACCCCTCCCTGTCTCTCCTATTTGCTGTGAGTTCAGCAAAGGACGCTGCGGGCGGCTGATTTCTCTCCCAGAACTGCAGGCACACCCACACAGGATAGATGCTCTTGGTGACTAGAGGGCTGACAGCCAGCAGGGCTTTTAGGAGCTGGGAATTCCCAGCAGAACTGATCTGGAATCTGGCTTCCACCTTGCCACTGGGGGTCCCTGAGCACACTGCCAACCTCTGCAGGCCCTGGCCTCCTCCGCTGTCTGACGGAGACAATGGAGGCGCACGTTCGGATGAGCCGCGGGTGAAGGATGCTCCAGGAAGCCCTCGCTGATCTGCATCTGACCCGTTTCCGTGCCCCTGGCCCTTGACCCCCCTTCCCACCTGCTTCCCTTCTGCTCCTGTGCTCCCCCCACACTGACCGCGTCATCTCCCCGCCTTCCCAGTGCACGTCCCCAGACCTTCCTGCCAGTGACTCATTCCATTCAGGTTTGCCCTCAAGGAGTAGCTGCTCGGCAATGCCTTCTGGGCCCCCCACCCCTTCCTTCTGGTTGGAGCTTCTTTGAGCTCTTAAAGAACCCTCCGCACTTGTTAGCTGCACCTCCACTGCACTTAGATCGTCACCTCTGTGGGGCAAGCCCGTATTTGTGTTGTTGACCGTTGTACCTCCAGTGCTGGGCACACAGTAGGTGCTCAACAGGTGTTTGTAAATGGCTGGCTAAGTGCACTGGGAGCTCTTCCATCAGCAGTCCTCTCTGCAGGCTGCCCTGCCCAACCCGCCACTGTGCCTGGGGCAGACAGACAGAGGTACCTACAAAGGCCTCAGGCCCAGCTGCTGGGTCCCCATAGGAAGCTCTGCACTGGCTTTTTCTTTTTCTTTTTTATTTTTTTGAAACAGAGTCTCCCACTGCCACCTGGGCTGGAGGGCAGTGGTGCGACTTCAGCTCATTGCAACCCCTCCCTCCCAGGTTCAAGCGATTGTCCTGCCTCAGCCTCCCAAGTGGCCGGGATTACAGGTGCCCGCCACCAAACCCGTCTAATTGTTTTGTATTTTCCGTAGGGTTTCACTATGTTGGCCAAGCTGGTCTTGAACTCCCAACCTCGTGATCCACCTGCCTTGGCCTCCCAAAGTGCTGGGATCACAGGTGTGAGCCACTGCGCCTGGACCCTCACTTAGCTTGGCTCCAAGGTTCTTCTGCCGTGCTACACCCAAGGAAGCCCCCTCTGCCAACTCCTGGGAGTTCCAGGAAGGCTTGGGCCATGTTGGGCTTCCGCCTGGGTTAAAGTTTAGGCTGTTAGTTGTATAACCTTACACTGTCTCACTTCTCAGCATTCTCGGTTTCCCCATCTGTAAAATGGGCATCGGCTGATGTAGCCTTAGCAAGACAGCGCCTAACCCCAGGAAGAGGCCGAGGAAAGTGAACTGTTGAGACGGCAAGCCCCTTGGGGATGGTTTGGACTGGGCCTGGTTAACAGTAAATGCTGGAATTTGTGAAATAAACAAAGCCATGTCTTTATCCGGGGGAAGGCTCCCTGTTCATCCTCAGCTACTGGAGGGAAACTCATTGAGAGAGGAGCAGAGGCTTGGAAAGCTCCTCACAGTGACCTTTTTTGACCTCCAAAAAATCTGAATGGTCCCTTCTCCCATGAAAACGTGAAGAAGCTTCTCAGACCCACCAGCTCAGCTGTCAAGAACTTACTTGGCCTAATAGTAATAATAATAAAAAAGAAAGTGCTGCATAAAACTCTGCTTCTAGTCCTCGGGGCAAAATAACTGAGCTCAGCCCCGGGCAAGGGCTCAGACTGTGTAGACTTGGTGAATAGCTCAACGACTTTCACAATTCCACTTCCCTTTCTTGACTTCAGCAAGACACCTTCACAATGACATCTTTCTTCAAAAGTCCAGGGGCAGGATAAGACTGGCGGGATAGACTGGTCTACACTGAGCAGAAGCAACCCGAGAGAAGTGGCTTGTTTTTCTTTAGGACCTTCAGAATAAGGGGAGATGATTGAGCCAGTTAAAAAAAGAAAAAAACTTTTAAAAATATGGTGTTAATTGGATTTGGTGGCTCACATTTGTAATCCCAGCACTTTGAGAAGCCAAGGCGGGCAGATAACTTGAGGTCAGGAGTTTGAGGCAAGCCTGGCCAACATGGTGAAATGCCCTTCTACTAAAAATACAAAATTAGCCGGGCGTGGTGGTGTGCCTATAATCCCCGCTACTCAGGAGGCTGAGGCAGGAGAATTGCTTGAATCTGAGAGGCAGAGGTTGCGGTGAGCAGAGATCGTGCCATTGCACTCCAGCCTGGGTGACAGAGTGAGTCTCCATCTCAAAAAAAAAAAAAAAAAAAAAAAAAGGTAGTGAAATATACACAATATATAACATAAATTGATGTTAACCATTTTTAGAAGACTTTTTTCAGAGCAGTTTTAAGTTCACAGCAAAACAGAGAGGAAGGTACAGAGAGTTCCCATCTACCGGCTGTCCGCACACACACACAGCCTCTACCATTTTAGCCATTGTTAAGTGCACGGTTCAGTGGCATGAAGGATATTCACCTTCTTTTTTGAGACAGAGTTTCACTCTTGTTGCCCAGACTGGAGTGCAATGGCGCGATCTTGGCTCACTGCAACCTCCACCTCCCAGGTTCCAACAATTCTCCTACCTCAGCCTCCCTAGTAGGTGGGATTACTGGCATGTGCCATTTCGTCTGGCTGATTTTGTATTTTTAGTAGAGATGGGTTTTCGCCATGTTGGTCAGGCTGGTCTTGAACTACCGACTTCAGGTGATCTGCCCACCTCGCCTCCCAAAGTCCTGGGATTATAGGCGTGAGCCACCACGCTCAGCAGGGGCTCACGATCACCACCATCAGTCTCCAGACGGTTTTCATCTTCCCAAACTGAAACTCCATGCCCATCAAACACTCTCCCTTCTGCTCCCCCAGCCCAGCATCCACCATCTTTGCTTTCTGTGTCTGTCAGTTTGACTACTTAGGGACCTCGTGAGTGGAATCACTCGTTTGTCCTTTCTGTGTCTGGCTTATTTCACTTAGCATGACATCGTCAAGATTCATCCATGATGTAGCGTGTGTCAGAATTTGCTTTGTTGTCTTTTTTTTTTTTTTTTTTTTTTTTTGAGGCTGAATAATATTCCAGGTATGGATTGGCCGAGTTTAATTTCTTTTCTTATCTGTCAGTGGTGACTGAGCTGCTCCCACCTTTTGGCTGCTGTGAACCTGGGTGCGCATCTCTGAGGTC